CCAGCGACACCAGAAAAGTCGCTAGATTTTTTGTGGAATGGTCTGAAACTGACAGATCTTTTTGTTGTTGTTTTCTCTCTGTGTGTCTCATTCATTAACGGGAAACACCCCGCCCGGTAGGGTTAACATTCAATCCCACGTTTCTAGAAACCATGAGAAATGAAAGGAAGAGGTGTTCTAGTAGACTGAGCTCTACGCTGTCGGCCATGATGGATCCTTCCTCACATGCTCAGCGGATTATTATTGATTGTAAATAATATTAATAACAGCTGCTTTGCGTACATGTTGTCGCTGAGGCTGTTCTCCTGGCTGCCCCCTGCTGGCGGGTCCCAGGCGTGCAGTTTGACCCTCCACAGCTTGATCTGCTGGTCCCAGGAGCGCCGGCTGTACTTCCTGAACTTGTTGGGCGTCTTCGGGTGAACGCCCGGCTGCCGCAGGTGCCTGAAAACACAAAGTTCGCCCGTCAGCAACCAAACCAGCTCCTTGACCTCCGTCAGGGGGCGTGCCGGTCTCCTTACTTGGGCACCTCCTTGATGTAGCGGTCGTAGGCCAGCGTGTTTTTGCCGTAGCTGATCTGTTTCTGCCTCCTCATCAGCACGGCTTCGTCCGTTTCCATGGTTTCTCCTTCTCTGGAGTCGCAGCTGCAGAAAAACCGGCCCAGATGACGCAGGTTAGGAGAAAGGTCAAAGGTCAGAGCAAAAACATGAGGCTGACAGCGGGAACTCTGATGATCCCATCAGGTCAAAGGTCAGGCCCCTGGCATGGCGGCTAGAACCAGAACCTCTGTGGAACATCTGATAGAGGTGAACTTTTCAGAACCTCCGGTTCTTGAACATGGATCCATGTTGGTGGGTCGTTAACGGCTCGGCGCTGTTGGTCCAACAGAACCTCCTTTAATAATGAGCTCTAGCTGGTTTTGGTTCCTCTACCACCTTGATCCAAGTGGACCAGAACCAGCGGGTGAGCCGGTACCAGAACCCTGACTGGAAAGGCACTGAAAGTGTAACCTGCATAAAATAATCACCCGCATTTTATTTTTGTGTGTGCTTACCTGCCAGAGGATCCAGAAGAGGCCCNGTGTGCTTACCTGCCAGAGGATCCAGAGGAGGCCCTCCTCTCCCGCTGGCCCGGTTCTGACCCCAGTATCCTCCTCCTGTAACTGAAGCAGAGCAGATCCGGTCACCCCCAGCCGGCGGTACCGACCCGGACCCTGAAGGGAACCAGCCTACCGCTGCATGTCTCTGTGGACGTCCTTCCTCATCTCCTCCTCATCCTCCACCTGGCTGCCCCAGTCCGGCCGCCGGGCGCATCGGGAGACGGGCCCCGCGCTCTCTGGGGTTCTGAAGCTGTGGACGGGCAGCAGACGGGTCAGAAGCGCAGGTAGAAGCAGCCATTTTATTATTTGATGTTTCTAGTCTCACCTGGACTGTCTGCCGCCATAGAGGCCTTCATCAGCGGCAGCATCGTCATCATCACTGTGGCTCCGCAGGTTCCCATCGATTCCTCTCTTCCGGCTCTGGGACCACCGGGACGGGCCGCTGCTCCTGAAACTGAGGCAGAGGGAGCTTCTTCAACAACAAAGCCTCTCCCGCCATTTAGGGCTGATTATGACGACTTCCGGTCCGCCGGTCCATTTAAAGCCGGCGGATCTTCACTGTCACTTTAAAATGCTTTCAGATCAAACGGAGAAAATCTGCTGTTTTCCTTCACATTAAAGCAACAAAAAGTTTCATCAGCAGCAGCTAAACCCTAACTAGCCCTAACTAGTTAACTAACTAAACTAAACGAAACTAGACTAGACTGGACTAACCCTCCATAACTAGTGAGCCGGACCGCTGCAGCTCACCTGCGCCTGGACTCCGTGCGCGGAGCTCCGGACCTGTGCGACATGTTGGAGAATAAAGTGGTGCAAACGGTTCCTTCCTCTGCCTCCCAGCCGCCTTCTGCCGCGCAGAGACCCGCCAACTGAGCGCGAGGCGCGGCGGACACAAACAACAGCCGCCGGTCACGTGAACGGAAAAGGCGGAGCTTCTTCTCCGCCTTTGTTTGGGTTCTGGTTACAACTGACCTCCCGAGGCTCCACACTGCCACCTGCTGGACTTCCCTCATCACTGCAAGCAAAGCAGCCTTTTTAACTCAACCTTAAATTAAATCAAATTAAATTAAATCACCAGACAGACAACAAGACGATATTTCAAACCAGAAAAAAATTATTGAATTTGACCACCTATATTTAAGAATATAGACTCTCTGAAATAAAATAAAAGAATGAAGATGAAATCCTTATCGGTGCTTATTTGAGATCAAACAGCGTTAATGAATTAAGTCCCAAAAGGTGCAGATGTAGAAAAGATGTGAAACAGTTTCACTGTTTTATAGAAGCTACGAGGTTTAATACATGTATTCATCTTTTAATTCATTTAGTTAGACTCAGACAACTTTGTATACAAAACAAAATTTCATGACATTTCCATTCCATAAAGTGCAGCAGTG